GTCCCCGTGGCTGCTTTTGGGGCAGGGCCAGGGAGTGACAGGCTGAGCCGAGGACAAAGATTTTGGAGTGGAACGTGAAGTTGGGTGGCCGGAGGGACTGGGTGAGGAACTGGTTGTGTGAAGATGCGCTGAAGGAGCTGCTCTTTTCTCTGCCTGGCTACCAGCTGTACGCTGGGGCTGGTCGGGAGCAGTAGCTCTCACAGCTGAGGAGGAGGAAGACCAGTGGCGTTAGTGGTTACTGAATCATCAGCCTCTCCAGAGTCTGGGCTAGAATCCAAGGGGTTAAAACCACAGGTTTTGTGCAGCCGGCAGAAACTTGCAAAACGCCGTGCTGTGGGAGTTCGCGCTTCTGCCGGGAGCTCGTCGGTACCTGGCACGGTGTCCTGTCAGCGCTGCTGCCGTGTGCCCTGCCCCCGGAGCAGAGGCGTGTGCTGGGTGAGAAGGTGCAGAAGTGGGAGTGTTGTTATTGCTGGGGAATTGTTCTGCGACCTTTTTTTTATTATTATAATTTAAAGTATTTTAAATTTATTTTACTTGTCAAGTCCTGAGAACTTTGAAAAGTAAGAGGTAAGTGTGGACTGGTTGCTGGTTGTCACTGCGGGACGCTGTGGTGAGCGAGAAGCGCTGTCGGAAAGCCTGTACTGAGAGGTGAATTCCTTAACCAGGGTAAAGCTGAAGTCCCGGTGACAGAGTGTGGCCTCAACGCTGAGCACAGCGACATCTGGGGTGTGGCACCCGTTCCAGACCCGGAATTAGATGGTTTTAGGGGTATGCAAGCACCTCCTTGTGCAATACCTGTGCCACGACAGCGAGGGAGGAGGGTGTAAGTGAGGAGTGTTGGGGCAGCCTTAGGTCTGGCACTCCTGAAGCTGCAGAGAACGCCGAGGGCTGCAACAGGGGATTGAATTCAATGTTCTTAAATGGTGACACTAAAGGGCAGGAATGACGCTGTTAAGGAGCTGTTTTTCCTGGAGCAGGTCGCTTTCCTAGACGCTGCCGTTCCCCGGGGACGGGCTGACACAGACGCAGTAACCACTGATGTCTCTCCCGTCACAGATGTGCATGGCGACGTTTGAGCACAACATGGAGAAGGCCTTCGCCTTTCAGGCGAGTCAGGACAAAGTGTGCAGTATCTGCATGGAAGTGGTGTACGAGAAACCGTCGGCCTCCGAGAGGAGGTTTGGGATCCTTTCCAACTGCAACCACACGTACTGCTTGTCCTGCATCCGGCAGTGGAGGTGTGCCAAGCAGTTCGAGAATCCCATCATCAAGTAAGTCGGTGTTCACCAGAGTCTGTTCCCTGGGGCCTGCGTCAGGGCGGCGCGCGCTCTGCCAGGCGTTGCCTCGATACAGAAGTAAAACCAGTGGTTAGGGATTCGGTAGCTGTAGATATCAACCCAGCTGTCAGTAAGTTCTGAGCTCAGAAAATCCCGTTCCGAGCGCTGGGAAATTCCAGGACGTTGGAGCGTGTCCAGGAGAACCACCTTCGAGAGCAGCAGGACGCAGCGGGCGTGCCTGGGTGGCAGTGTGCTGACGCGGGGGTGCTTTGGCAGTTCACTGCGGTCCCGTACGGCAGGGGCTGGGCCCTCTCTCCCTGCCTCGGTGGCGGGGCAGGGGGCACACGCGTGGGCTCTGCAACAGCTGAGACCGGGCCCTTCACAGCAACCCGCGTGCCAAACCAGCCACTACTTTTTTTCTACGTCTGTGCTTAATGACTGGATTTTTCTCTCGCTTACAGCTTACTCAGGCTAAATGTCCCACTAATCACATGTTTATCTGTATCTGAGTAAACACCTTCATCTTCTAGCTCTATAAAAAATATATTCCAAACACGCTCCTCCTCAGAGGAGAGAATTTAAAGCATCCAGTGAGGGCAATTTCCTTTTTTGAGCATCTCTTTGAAAACTCTCTCAACTTCCAAGCATGCTGAGGAAAAGGTGGGAAGTGTTTTCGGTCTTCTGCCAAAATAATAGACTTTTCTGCCTAACTTTGGTTATCAGCTCCATTGCAGTGAACGTTAGCCCATTAGCATGTAACCTGAATCGCAGTCCAGCTTCTGCTGGCCAGGTGCTGAGGTATTCTGCCTACAGCAGGGACTGTGAGGGGGTTTTTTTCAGCAGCAGTGCCCTGGAATCCATTTTGAGTATGGATTTAATACTAATATGAATTCTTCAAACATGTTTTTTACACTTCTCCGTAATGGTGAACGTACTGGTCACTGCAGAGGTAATCTAACGGAGGGGCCTGGCCTCGCTCAGAAAGCACTGCCTGCCGGGAGGCTGTTCTGCGGGGCTCGCAGGGCAGGGTAACAAAGCCTTTCCTGGGGTTGGCGAGGTACCTAGAGTTACGTATTTGATCCTTGATCCTAGCTGCTCGTGTAGAAATCCATCTTGTAAAACCACCGAGTGGGCAGCTCGTCCCTGCTGGCAGAGGTCAGATGGCGTTGCAGCAGGCGCAGGGACCTTCCTGTGCCTCTGTGCAGCCGGTTTGGCTTTCCGCTGCACAGGAGCTGCAGCACCCGCGTGAACGCCTGCGCTGTTTCTGCAGACCGGGGTGAGCAGATGCAGTTTACACCTGCGCACTGAGGAAACACCCGATGCTTTTGTTCAGGCCTAGAAACAAATGCAAGGCAGCATTTGGATTATTTCAGCTGAAACGGGCCACACGTGCGGGTGTGCTGCAGGAAGGCGCGGGGAGGTCTCGGCAGCCTCGGCGTGACGAGCCCTCTCCCTTCCCTCGGCAGGCTGCCGGCTGCGGCAAATGTGTTGCGGCGGAAAGTAACGGAGCCTTGCTGTTTTGTCTTGATCCACAAAGGTCTTGCCCGGAGTGCCGTGTGATATCCGAGTTTGTCATTCCCAGTGCCTACTGGGTAGAAGACCAGGAGAAGAAAAACGAGCTGATTGAAGCCTTTAAGCAGGGAGTGGGGTAAGTTCAGTGACCAGAAACCCTGTTCACATTGTCCAAGGGCAGATACACCGGGACTCAGTCGAAGTGCCTGTATTTTTAGACTTTGTGTCATCACAAACCATTCTACAGAGAACTCTTCATCTCTGAGAACACTTTAACTTTGTGACTGCCACAAAAGGGTCTGTCACGTAATTATAGATCAGAAATTATTCAAACGCATGCTCTGAAATTTCGAAGCTGTTTCAGTTCACTTGCCAGAATTGGCTTCATGTGGTTTCTGTTGATCCCTTAGACATAATTGCCTGGAACGTTGGCAGTTAACAAGGAAAACAAATAGGGAAGGAAAATGTAATGGTTTCTTGAAGTACAGGATAAAAATTCACGGGGTTTTTGTAATCCCTACTGGAAAGGGGAAACACTCCATGGCTGTGTTCCCTTTACTGTCTAGTCACGATTTGCTTGGGGCACGGGGAGCGGGCTGCTGACGGGCGGTGCTGCAGCAGCTCTGCAAAGCTGTGCTTGCCTGGGACGCGGGAGGGTGACGTGGTTCCCGGAACAGTGAGACACCGTCACTTGTCTCCTCGCTCGCTCTTTGCCAGGTGAACAAGCAGAGCTGTGCTTGACCCGCGTGAGCAGCGAGGGTTTTGCTGAAGGTGGTGCAGCTTTGCTCTGTGGCATGCACCAGCCTTTACACAGGGCCTCAGGAGTGCAGAAGGCCACAAGCCTTGCTTCAGCCCGTGCACAGCTGTTGCCACCAGCTTTTCAGCTGCTTGAGGAGCTTCACGTCGCCAAAGTCCTGTTACCACACAGCAGACGAACTGTTGAAAGCGGCACTGCTCCGTTAAATGTTTAATCCAGCAGCTTGCCTTGTTTTGCCTTACAGTCAGGCAAAATATTGGAATAAAACTAATCACTGTGAGGTTCTTCAGATACGGTTTGTTTTCAGTACCCTATTGCTGTTTTGGTTTTTCATTTGAATGCATGAGGACTTTGAATTGAGGGTAGGGAGTCGCGCTCAAAATCCTCAGCGTGGCGCGGTTTGCAGATGGCCGTGTTCCCAGGCGGGCGGGCTCTGAGCTGTCAGGCAGCGCTGGAACTCGGGTTTGGCGCCCGTCAACCTGCTGCACAGAAGAGACTGCAAAAAGGGGTTTTGCTTACGTGCTCAGCTAAGACTGAGGTGTTGTGTTGTAGAGAAAAACGTCGTTGGTACAGAAATTGTACAGAGAGATCTCTTGGCAGGCAGTTTAACTTGAGGATTCAGCATTGCAGGGAATACAAAATGCCAATAAAGTGGAGTCAAAGCGAAGCACGGGGTCATGCCAGCACAAATCCATTCCGATTTATGTGCCAGCACAGGACAAAACCAGCCAGACCTAGAAACCTGGAAGCCCCAGACCACCCGAGCTGCAAACTGAGTCGCATTCGTTCCGCTTTGAACGCACTGCCGGGTTTTGGTTATTTGGTGGGGTGTGGTGGTGTTGCTGAGCCTTCCTCTCCCCTTGGCTGCGATCTGACAGACTGCATCTGTGTCTGAGGAACCCGTTTCACCACTGTTTGCATATGAAGTTTACAAAGTTCAGTTGTGTTTTCTCTGTGGTCTCCTCTTCAGCCGTTTTTCATTGTCGAGCAGTCCAGCCGCGTCCCCCGCCCCGAGCCCCGCTGTGCCGCCTCCGTGAGCAACACCTCTGTAAGGATTTGCTACACGGCTACAACAGCGTGGTTGAACGGCAAAGCTGGCGGAAACGTAAATTAACAAAGTACTGTCACAGAACTTCCAAAGGAGATGAGGAGAGCAACTGGTTCATAAAAGTGCAGTGGTAGAAAACACAGGGGAGGAATGTTGCTAGAAAAATGGCAGCAGATTTGTTCATGATGATGCAAATGCGTGCGCAGGATCAACGACATTGTTTGAACAGCCTTCACTTTCCACATCTTAAGACAGTTTCATTTTTTTGACTGATGCTGCTGTTTGTTTATACATGTGCCTTTGCTTTTGCTGAGCTTTCCCAGCTATTGTGGCTGCTGTGAGTTAGGGAGTGGAACGGGGGCCTGCAGCTCCTGCTGTGGCAACAGGAGCAGGACTTTGCCTCCCTGCCTGCGGACAAGACAAGCAGCCACTGACAGCAAACTGTATCCCCCTCCTTACTAGCTGAAGGCAGTAACTCTCTTTTCTAATTAAATCAGGAAAAAACCCTGCAAGTACTTTGAACAAGGGAAAGGAACTTGCCCGTTTGGAGGGAAGTGTCTTTACCTTCATGCTTATCCAGACGGGACGCGAGCTGAACCTGAAAAGCCACGGAAGCAGCTGAGCTCCGAGGGGACTGTGCGGGTAAGGGAGTGCTCCAGCCAAGGGTAATTAAAACCGTGTTTTGAATGTAAAGTGTGCTACTGAAGTACGTTGCGTACCGTGCATGGCCTTGGAGAAGTGAAGAAAGCACCCCTCCATTTTCCTTGAGGCAAAGGTTTGTTATTAGGGAAAGGAGAAGGCACCTTTCCTTTCACAGCAAAAAATTTATTATTGTTTTATCTTTTGAACCAGTCCTTCTCGTGGCAAACCTTTCTTCGAAGGAATTCTGCCATTAAAGCTTCCACTGACAGTATTAACAACTCCCTCTCGTGCCTGGGGGTAGCTGGCAGTAAGACCAGCTGAAAAGGGTGAAGCCTGCTTGAAAACTCCTGAGGGCTCGGCCACCCCCAGCTGGCCAAGGCCGGCTGCCCTTCCCCTGCGGCTCCCCCGCACTGGGTCGGCCACGCCCCGGCCCTGCTCCTGCTGTAACGCTCTCAGAGTCTGAATGTGACAGCAGATGTTGCTGAGAGGGGAGGCAGGTCCTGGTGCAAACCCAGCTTCTGAATCTCAGCTTCTGACTATTTTTAATGACGAGGTCAGATGGACCCGGGAAGGTGGAACTGTGGCAAGCGCTGGTTCTCGCTCACTCAGAGTCTGTTCTGTTCCAGTTCTTCAATTCTGTTCGGCTGTGGGACTTCATTGAAGACAGGGAGAGCAGGACTGTGAGCAGCGCAGAGGAGGACGTGACGGAACTCGGAGAACTGTTCATGCACCTTTCCGGGGCCGAGGAGGATCCTGCTACTTCTCAGTGAAGAGAACCACAGGTGCTTCCCTCTGTAGCAATCCAGCTATTTATTTAGCCATGCTTTTACTCTCTGCAGCACAGTTAGGATGAATGTGCCCTGTGGTTTACTCGTGCAGTCCTAGTAAAGTTTTCAGATAGTTTTGTATGGCAACAAAAATACTAAAATATATTTCAAGCATGGAAAAAATCCCTGAATCCCAAGAGGGTCTTCTCCCTCTTTGGCCTGACGTGTGCTGTCTTGTGAGCTGAGTCGTAGTGTGAACACAGCTCCTCTTTCCCATTTAAAGCTTAAGCTGTTCAAAACTGTTGCTAAATCTGGTTTGGGGGTGGGTTTTTTTGTTTTCCAACCCCCCCACCAAATCAACTAAATGTCTGTCTCCAAAACCCCACTGCGAAAAATGGTCAGCGTAGCTTTTTCTTCCTTAGAAAGGAGATTTAAGACCGAATCCATTGTACCTCAAAGAAGTACCCGGAGTTCAGAATAAAGCTTACTGTGTTCTTACAATGAGCGCTGCAGCAGCGGGGCCGGGACGCGGCCTGGCTCTCGCGGACGGTGCCAGCTCCTGCCCCTGTTTCAGACCAGCGGGAGGCAAACACAGCTCTCCAGGTTAACGCCTTCGGGCAGAGCAGCACGAGTCACAGCATACAGCTGAGTTAAACTTACAGCACAAATCGGATTTTGCAAGCTGTATAACGAGAGTAAGTAGTTACTTTCAGTAGTCATTGCAACAGTAATAGTTACATTTTATTTTTGTTCAGTTTCATTAGTTCAAATGTATTTAACTGGAAGGGAAACCTTGATTCAGTTACATGAAGTAGACAAAATTAAATGAAGTAACTAAGCAATTCTCTGATCTCCTTATGCCAGTGACCTTACAGTTTACAACTACACAACGTACGTCACCTGTCACAAACGCAGCAATTAGTTTTAGCTGCTGCTTTCCCTAATGGCCGCCTGTAGCTGCTGGGGCTCCCATCTCAGAGTACCTTGAGCACAGCACCAGAGCTGCAGCCCCGTCTCCAGGTCACTCCCCTGCCCGCTGCTGGCAGGCAGCCCAACAGAGCTCAGACCCTGCCCCGGCTCCTTCCCTGTCTTCGGAGGGCACGGGCGCCAGTGGCCCCGCTGCCTTTGTCAGACGAAGGCCCGTGCTGGGGGGGAGGTGTTAAGGCAAGTCTCTTCTGAGCTAACGGAACCGGTACTGACTTTCAGTTTTGTTAAAAATTTAACTCCTGTTTGTGTTGCAAAAGCAATTTGATTGTGAAACATGGTACAAGAAGGTGATTCCACCAAGTCCTTTGTACTAACTTGGCAGCTAAACCAGAAGTCAGTAAAACGGAAACAGCTGCTGAGTAAGGCAGCAGTGAAACACGTGAGTACGAGCAGGGTTTGCTCAATCCCAGTCCGCACTACTCGACTACTTCAAATAAGTAGAGGGCTGCTTTAACCCCTGGCGTGAGGACAGGACTGCACACCCTGGACAGGGCGCCTGTCCATTTAAAGACTTGAGCGTTGCAGAAAGCTGGACGGTGGAGATGACAGATTATTTGTATTGTGACACAGAGCACATTTAGAGATACTCATGCAAAAAAAGTAGCAGCAGCATGGCAAAGAGGGCTCTGCTTTGGTGATTAAACACTAGGATCTGGGTCAGCGTCGTGAAGCAAACAGCAGGAACCTTCATCCGGGACGCAGACATTTTCAAATGACACCAAGTGAGAGACTCCAGGATTACCCGCTTCATCTGTCAGCTGGCATTTCTGGGTGAAAGGTGAAGCCCAGAGACGTTCTGGATGGAAATACTGCATCTCTGTGAGGGTTCCCAGAGGAGAGGGAGAACGCCCGCCTCTGCTGCAGGCCAGCAGTTCCCACAGACTGAACGTGCAAATCTCCCTCTCTGTTCTGACCTAGGAAAGGTAACTTTTCCACAATTATTTCCCCCCCTATTTTTTAGCAGTGCTTACTGCAAAGTCAGCCCTTAGCTTGTCAGTATCTGTAACTGCTTCACTGTCAGCTGCTTTTTAGAACTGGCAGAGGGAGGCACCAGCAAAGCTTCAATAAGCCGTATTAGTGTAATTCTTCATCGCTGATTAAAAGGGCAAAGGAAGATGCAGCATCACTAAGAGAGATGTAGTACCATGAGATGAAGGTACAAGAGCACTTGCCCAGGCACACTTTCCACCCCAGAACACTCAGCCAGCCCTCAGCCTCCCTGCTGAAGCTTGTTTCTAGCTGGTCTTGCAGGTTAATTTTCCCCCCACCACCCCTGAAATATTTTCAGTAATAAAATATACCAAAAAAAAGTGTCAGTGGAGAGGATGTTCTTTGCCTTAAAGAAGACATTCCTGATTTACTTTGCCCCAAGAAGACATACACCAGGGAACATCAGTCTGAAATTAGAAAGATAAATTTGTTTTTCGAAGCGACCTAAGGACAACATACAAAAGTTTTAATTTAAGGGCAGTAAGACTTCAAAACTCAGACCTCTTAAGTTCTTCACTTTGCAGCTTTCATCTAATTTTGACATCAATTGCTGGTCAAAATAACCCTATTTACCAACACTATTTTTATTTTTCAAGAGACACGTAACTCCTAATTTTTAAAACAGCTTAATGTTTTCTTCTTGGAAATCAGAGCTAAAGTAAAAAAAGCTTACTGTTTCTGCTTCCCTCCCCCCTTTTCTTAAAGTTTTCCTTGTCATAATGAAGGTAAAATCAGAGAGAAATGATGTTTAGAGAGGGCTGCAGCTAAAGTACCAAGAATATTATTAAAAATAATGTGGAACTACATGGAACATTTTCCTTCAACCCTCAATTTACTTTTTAGCAAGCAAATTTTATGGTCATGCTCAGTGACCACCGAAGGATTGATACTCCACCCTCATAACGCTGTATGATGTTCTGACTACAAGCGGGCTAGGTACTACTTTTTAAGTACGTGTCTGGCTTCTGTCCTTCCAGTTCCCCTGCTCCCTTTCGTAAGCGCGTAGCGGGGTTTTGCCTGCTGCCGGCGAGACCCCGAAATGGCTGCCTGGACGCTGGAGGCCGTTCAGCGCTGCACGGGTGAGCTGTCAGCGTTCCCCGCGGCGGTGCTTCGGCAGCGGCCCGGCCTGAGCTGGCAGTGGGCACAGGCCACTGCGCAGAGCTCGGCGCTCTGTTCTGCCACGAGCCCCGTGCCTTACCTGTACGCGCAGGGACAGACACCGCAGCCCCAGCTTCCATTCCCAGAACGGAGACCGGCTTCCACGCTTTCCCTAAGAAACATATTTAAACAGAATGCTACTTAAAAAATCAGTTCTTAGATTAAACCACCTGTTTTTTGTCACCTGGGGATTTCAGCCAAGACAAAACACTCACTTCTACCTAAGTAAGTAGCAGGGTCACAGAAGATAAAATGCACAGCAAAAACAGTGCAGTTCAGGAGCGTGACAGTACGCGAGCGTGGGCATCCCGCTAAGCAGATGCTGCCCAAGGATCACTGCAGTAGGATAAGAACCATCTTGTAATGGAAGCAACTGGAAACCTAAAAGTGATCGTATCAAGTGTGTTGTACTTCAGCTGCTATTACCTGTGCTAGTAACTTTTTAAACATTATTCAGAATGTCATTTTCCAGGTTTTTCAAATCTAGATGTACATGTCACAACTATGGATTGCTACATTAAAGGATGACATTGAATCTCAAACCTAAAATTTAATTTATTTTATTAAAATAAGATAATCAGAGGAACCTCGGCTTACAATAAATGCATTTTCTCAGGAGCAATAAAAACAAAATTAAAACCCAAATCAGCAAGAAAAACTGTATATGCTCAGTTTCCTCTTGATAGTGCATCTCTTGGACGACAGCTTCAGATGGGATGAAGACTATGCTCATTTTGCAGAAGTATACGGGTAATGTTAATTAGACTTTTCTCAGCCACAAAAGCCTGTCTCTCTGCACTCACCACCTCACTGGGCTGCAAGAAACAAGTCAATAGTACCAAAGTAAGCTGCTGAAGTTACTGAAGATGACCGTAGCAAGGCTGGCTAGCTTCCTTCTCTGAGCAGTACAGTTCAGAATATATTCCATTCTTTTGCAAGAGTTTTTCTTCTATGTGCAAAACTATTGCAAAACTATTTTGTGTTGAATTAGCATTTTGACTTATTTCATTGGCTTGATGAAAGCTCTTAGGCAGGAGCTGATTTCCAGAAAGTTTTTTTTCCTCTCCCCTCAGTCTTGTTTGCACATACCCATTGCAGGCAGAACTCCCCCAGCCTGACGTGGCATGGGGCAACCACGGAGCACCACAAGGCATCCTCTTTCCTCAAATGCTGGGGCAAGCCACCCTTGCTGTAAAGAATACCAGTTCAGATTCAAAACAGATTCAAAATCAATCCAGAAACACTGCCAAAGAAACATCCATCGCTTCTGTGTCTGGGAAAAATAAGGCTCAAGTGCATCTATTAAAAAAATAGTAATAGATCTCTTGATTTATAGTCTGTTAACTATCCCAGTAAAAGAAACTGTAGAAAAAGGCAATGTGGAGCTGTGTCCCTGCAGGATAACAACTGCAGAAATCCTTAGCAGCTTGTTCTTAAAACTGGGACGCAGATAATCCTGCTGGCACTGATCCTGTACACTGAGGCATTAAAAGCACAACTTCTGTTACTTCTGTTCCTTTCCCATCACTGGGGAGAACACGGGAGGGGGTGTGCGATCCTAAAACACAGGCAGTCTCGTGGATGTTAACGTGCATGAATTTATGTCCTCTGTGTGGGCGGCACGATGCAGAGACGGTTCAGAAGCACTCCGGTTGATTTTGGGTAAAGAATGTTGCAACAATTCAATGGATGACAGTATCTGAGGGAACACATAAAATGAAAAGAAGACTTGTTAGATGAGCAGCTCTTTCTGTTTCAGTCTTAAACCTTCAGTTATTGTGGCTCTGAGCGCATCTCTGTGTGGAGGCACTGGGCACAACACTGGGAATGCGCAGTTCCAGTCATCAAACTGTGCCACACGGTTTCACTGCCATGAGGAGTCCCACTGCGTTTCAGAGGATGGGAGGATACTTTTCATTAATTCACAGACATTATGATTAATTAGCAAGCATCTATGCGATTCTCCAGCAGAGTAACAGGGAAGGAATTGCATCTTCTGCCTGTCAGTCTGTTTTTACAAAACAACACTTAAAAAGAACTTGTACACAACAAAAGTTAT